ATTTAGGGTGTTAAACAGTGAAAACACAACATGTCTGATACAGTCTTGAGATGGCAAAAAAACAGCATCTGGTGCTGCTATCTCACCAGGCCGATGACGTCAAATATTTCTTACATTGTTTATTTGGGATAATCAAATTTTACCCAACTGCCCCCATGTTTCTGTTAGAGACGTTGCGTCATGCACAGCAGGTTTCTAATTAGGCCCCATGAAAAACAACAGGTGGATGTGAGAAAAGTAATAAATCATTCAGCCAATATGGCTGCTATAACAGGAATGTGTTTTTTCTCTTTATGTGTCTGCGGGTGGGAATTGTCGGTGGACAGATGCACAATGCTGTGTGCGTCCCACGCATACTTTACAGCACTTCATTTCTGTGTGGCATTTTGTAATATCATTCTTAGTGATGCTGCTTGTGGCTAAGAGAAACAAATTGAATTACTTGTATTATTCTAATTGCCAGCAGGGGGTGACTTCTCTGGTTTCAAAATGAAGTCCGATTGTATAGAAGTCTATGAGAAAATGTCCCAACTTTTCAATTAATTTATTACCATAGGAAACATTTTATAATTGCCTTTGGGGTATTAATTGCTAGTTTCCAGTCTTTAAACCCCAAGGTCCCCGCCGGCGGGTACTTTTTTTCTTTTCTTTTCACGACACTGTGTCTCCGGGGATCTTAATATTTAAGAACCTATTAATGTGATTAACGGGAATAATCTCAGCTAACTGACGATACAAACCATTTTTACTAAAACAAAACACAAGTCTTATAAGAAGCATCTAAATGACCCCTGAGCGAAAAATGCTAACCTATTACTGCACCGATAATCACTCCTAGCTCCATTATTACTTATCCTAGGTGCACATCCAACACATCGTTTATGATCGCAAGGAGACACAGAATCTAACGGTGCCCACCTCAACACTGAAAGATACAAACTCGACGTTATCAACAAAAACGTACATCAAATCAAGTGGCGCTAGGTAGCCCACAATGCTAACATGGCTTACCTTCGGCTTTGTCTGGTCTAAACTGGTCTTCAATGGCATTAAAACGATAACAACGATGATGTAGTTAATCCATAGGTTAATATCCAATGTGACTGCGTCCCATTTGAAATGTTCTGAGAATCCATAAGCAATAAAACAGCTTTTCCGTTGCTTGATATCAGAGCATCGCTCGATATTTCTCCCCTCTGCTGCAAGCTAGCATGCGCAGAGACGCCACTTTTTTTTTAACATGAGTGTGTGCGGGACGATTTCCCTTGGATTCTAATGGCTCTAACGGTCAGAAAGAGATGTCACATGTCAAAATCGAACAAGGGGGCCCAGAGATATGGAAAATCCACCCAAATGGCCCCAGAAGAGGATTTTTTTGCTAAATCTGTCTAAAAAGGTCAAATATCACTTGTTTTGCATCAATCTTGATACAGGGTACTTATTATATGTTGTACTTTGGATTCCTAAAGCTTTTAGTCTACTAACCCATCATCCAAGGTTAGTTTTCACCAGGGGCGGACTGGCCATCGGGACGTTCGAATCCCCATGGGCCGGTACTGAAGTGGGCCGGTCGGACGATGTGGGCCAGCCGGTAACCGGCAGGGCTCGACATTCAATGGCCCGCTGCTGGCCCGGAAGCACTATTTAGACACCCCGGGCCAGCATAACGTAGGCTACTTTCCACTTGCCCGCTCGGGCCACTACAAATATTGCTTTAAAAAAATTGTCCTGTGGTATTGGTATTTTGACTAGCAACTTAGTTAAATTGTTTCGTTTATCAACGCTACAACATAGCGTTCCGTGAGTCGGTTGTCCTTGTTGGGTGAAAAGCAAACAGCTGTTTGCTGCGGAGCGCAGCGCGAGCAGGCTCCCGTGAGCGGGAGCGCGCTCCTTCACTACAGACTATCACGCCATCTAACCATTCGCCAAAAATGTTTTTAATACCAGCGGTAGCCGGGCAAAAAACAATCTTCAAATAAAAGAAAGTCACCGGAGGAGTTAAAGGAGAGTGACAGGGAGCATGAGAAGAAGAGGGAGAGAAAGTTTCAGCCAGCTTGATCGATGGAGTTGGCTTCTAGTGGTGCAGTGACGCGTCCTAAAACCCTTTTATAATCTATCGATTAGATTTATGATTCGAAAATTATAAAAGTAGGGTAGACATGTGGAGATTATCCAGCTGAACAAAACGTGCATATATCAAACAGGTTTGTTTTCCACAGACCTTATTTCCAGCTATTTTCCAAAACCCTGTGGAGAAATAAATCCCATTGCTTTATGTCGAGGGAACCAACAGCTTACTTCCTGGTTTTATGACGCGTCACTGGCTGCACCTCTCAATATGATGCCAATATAAACAAGGTCTTCTGTCGGCTCTGTATGTAAGGTAACAGCCTTGACAGGCCACTAGGTGTTGCTGTTGCGCAGCAAATTGTTGTTTTTTGTCCATTGTGGGACACCGTATTTCTCTTGTTGTCTGGGTGCGGCCGCCATCTTGCCGCTAATGTTTGCATTCACTCCGCAAAAGGTGAGCAGTGTTAATGGCGGCAAATAATTGTACACATTATTATGTTAAAAACGTCCAAACATTCCATTTATTTAATTAATGGGTTAGTTTAAATGTTTATTTACCCGTTTGTGTATGTTTGGGAGTGAGATGTTTATGTTTTGTCTGTTCATTTGGTTATTGTATTGGTTAGCATGTAGCTAATGCGCGAATGTTTGCATTCACTCCGCAAAAGGTGTGTCAGAAGAGCTCCCATTGTGAAGAATACATCGCTACTCAGCATCTCCACCGCAATCCGATCTGCTGTGTCCTGTTTTCAACCCCTCTGCATAACATCCCATCACCAATAACAAACACAACGCAGAGTCCCATGGTGTTCAGAGAGGCTACTGGACATTTGGGTTACATCTTTGGTGCCGTGACCCGGATTGTGGTGCTCCGAGACTGCTGAGAAGGAGAGACTGATGGCAGTACCCCCCCCAGCTTGTTGGACTGAGCTATTATCATCTGTGTAGCTGTATTGGCAGGAAATTCACCTTCTCCAATATATCCTTTAAAGGCTGTGAACTTTGCTGTTTTCTTTAGAGAAATGTTCCTGTTATTATAGCAACTTCACCACTACTTGAATGGTTAAGAGTATATTGTGTGTGAGACCACTCTGCAACGAATATTAAGCTATTGTTGCCAGTTTATCTCATATATATTCTTATTGAGCAGTGTTCTAGATGTAATTTAATTACGAGCTGATATTGTGCTAGACATTATAATTTGTATTGATTGTTTTGACTCATTACAATACTACGGTGGCCCTGAAGTGCAAGACACTACAGCCTTTCACAAAACACAACAGCATTTCACAAAACACTACAGCATTTCACAAAACAATATAGCATTTCACAAAACACTACAGCATTTCACAAAATGCCACAGCATTTCACAAAACACCACAGCATTTCACAAAACACCACAGCATTTCACAAAACGCCACAGCATTTCACAAAACACAACAGCATTTCACAAAACACAACAGCATTTCAGAAAACACCACAGCATTTCACTTTGGAAAGGGTATTCCTTTAGGGAGAACACTTCTTGTTTGTGATTGGACAGAGCCAGCCAGAGAAGCACTGCTGTGATTGGTTGTTTTTGCTGCCAGTCAAGAAATGACGCTTCGTGATTGGTCAACACCCGACAGCAAAATATGTCCCAACACATCAGCCGTTAGCACACACTCAGAGCTCACAGCTCCTCATATCTGTTCAGAAACTGGACAAAAGTTAAACATGTACAAACCACAGACTGTCTGTGTCATGGCGAATACAGTCGCTGCTTTATTTATGTCTGTATGACGTTGTTGTGAGTGTGGACGGAGCAGCTACATGTTAGTTTAGCCTGATGGATCCGATTCCATTAAGAAAACACGCATTTTAAAAGCTTTTCGCCTGCCGTCTTATCTGCAGACTTGTCAAAGCGTTAATTCATGGTTTTTACTAACAGTTATCAGTATGTAGTTACTTCGGCATCACTTTGAAACGTGTATTACAATTAAATCACGGTCAAATATGTTCATTTTGTTGTAGTTGGTATCTCCCATAGGATTTACTTGGAGATATGCCCCGCCCCCTCTCAGCGCCTCTTGTTTGAATGACAGGAGCAAACACAGCTGACAGCCGCGGTGAAACTCGAGCGATTAGAGCGATGCGAATATTGGGTGGTCTACCATAGTATTTACATGGAGATAAGCCCCTTAAAAACCATGAATTAATAAAGCATTAATTCTGTGTTTACTCCTGTCATTCAAACAAGACGCTGGAGAGGGGGCGGGCCGTATCTCCATGTAAATCCTATCGGAATCGGATCGATCAGGCTAAACTAACCTGTAGCTGCTCCGTCCACACTCACAACAACGTCATACAGACATAAATAAAGCAGAGACTGTATTCACCATGACATAGACAGTCTGTGTTTTGTATATGTTGAACTTTTGTCCAGTTTCTGAACAGATATGAGGAGCTGTGAGCTCTGAGTGTGTGCTAACAGCTAACGGCTGATGTGTTGGGCCAATCACGAAGCGTCATTTCTTGACTGGCAGCAAAAACAACCAATCACAGCAGTGCTGCTATGGGTGGCTCTGTCCAATCACAAACAAGAAGTGTTCTCCCTAAGGAATACTCTTTCCATCCAATGTGAAATGCTGTGGTGTTTTCTGAAATGCTGTTGTGTTTTGTGAAATGCTGTGGTGTTTTCTGAAATGCTGTTGTGTTTTGTGAAATGCTGTGGTGTTTTCTGAAATGCTGTTGTGTTTTGTGAAATGCTGCGGCGTTTTGTGAAATGCTGTTGTGTTTTGTGAAATGCTGTGGCGTTTTGTGAAATGCTGTTGTGTTTTGTGAAATGCTGTGGTGTTTTGTGAAATGCTGCGGCGTTTTGTGAAATGCTGTTGTGTTTTGTGAAATGCTGTTGTGTTTTGTGAAATGCTGTGGCGTTTTGTGAAATGCTGTTGCGTTTTGTGAAATGCTGTGGCGTTTTGTGAAATGCTGTGGTGTCTTGCACTTCAGGGCCACCGTACAATACACTAGAAATAACATTTCCACATAAACACAAGTTAACACACAAACAGATGTGGAGTGCTCGTACAGATTCCCCATCAAAGCTTGAGGCATCAGGCCTGCAACCTCTCCCTGGGCCTGCAATGAGCCTCAACTATGACTCCCCTATTAAAACACACACACACCTCTTGAGTGAAGGGGCATCCGCTGACACAAGCACAGCGAACCACCAGCTATCAGTGAGGCCAAAACTCACCAACCAGCCCACCAGGTTTGCAAATGCTTCACTACAGTTTGATACTGAAGACCACCGGATCAGCTGGAACCCCACAGACTCAGGCTTGCATAATACCCCACAACCCCCAATCCTATCACCTTATACCAGTGCTTCTCAAAGTGTGGTCCGCGGACCACCGGTGGTCCGTGAGCGCCCCCTAGTGGTCCGTGAGTATATTGGTAACATTTCACATTTGAAATAAATAAATACATTTAAGTTTTCTGCACTCTCGGGAATATCTCCGCAATGGAGCGAGCTTAAGTTTCACTTTCGATTGCATGATATAGCCCAGCGCAACACCTTCATCACACATGTTGCCACTTGTTTATACCATTTTCACGCGATTTGTATTCTGTTCTAGAAAAACGATGTGCTTTTGGATATTTTTGGAGTTAGGTGGTCCGCGAGTGTTTTTTTATTGGTTAAGTGGTCCTTGGTATGAAAAGGTTTGAGAAACACTGCCTTATACTGATCACCGTGTTACTCCAGCTCATGTATCTTCATTTCCAGGCCCTGGAGCTTCAATACAGGTACCTCAGCTCTGTTTCGACAACAGCCCTAGCCCGGGTCCAAGTCACCAGACTAACAGGTCTGATTATGGCAGACTGGGTGCAGCCGCTTCTCAGCCGGTGATACAGTCAACGATGGTCCCTGCCCCCCCACCCCAAGTCAGTGTGTATGAACCCACAGCTATTGTACCACCTCAGAGCTTCCCGCTCAACGCCTACCCTGAAATGCGAACTATGCAGCAGCCCAACATAAATCCTCCAATTAACCCCCCTTATCCAACCGAGGCCATTCAGCGTAACTCCCATGTCTACACCAGCTATGCATATCCCGCTCCTGAACCCCAAGTACCCGCACCAAGGTTTGAAACACCACAAACAATTAACATTATGAATAACCCCCCTGCTGCTGGGCAGACCCTCCGATGGTCAGATTATGAACGAACCCCCCAATCACATATGTCACAAGCTGCTGTCCAATATCCACATGACCTGACTCAAAGTGAAGGAGCCCCGAGGCTACATTCTGTCACCAGTGCATGGGGCCCCAACATGACAGCGCCCAACCCCCTGAATGTAACTTATGCAGCTCACACCCAAGCCCCTGCTCCAAGGATGCCTGCTTCGGACCATCAAGTCAGCAGTAATCGCCATTTTCTCCATCAGTCCGCGCCCTTACCTCCATATCCCACTCACCACACTCAACCCGGTCTATCTGAGCCACTGCAAAGGACTCCTGGCAGAGCCCTCACCCACCCAAGCATTCCACTGCCTGCCTATGGTGGCTTCATGCAGACCCATCAGGTGAAGAATGTCCAAGTCTTCACTGGCAATGCTGACAGTGAAATGCTCATAGAGGACTGGATTCGTGACCTGCAGTACCTTCTGGAGGCAGTAGAGCTTCCCATGCACCTCCGCTTCTCCACTGCTGTGCGACACCTGGGTGGTGAGGCTAGGAAGCTGGTTCTGAACCTACCCCCCCATGATCAAACCCCTGAGAAGGCATTTGAAGAACTGAGGGCAGAGTACGGTGACACACAGGGCTCTCTAGATCCACTGGCTGACTTCTATGAGCGTAGCCAGAGGTCCGGAGAATCTCCCTGCTCTTATGCTATAGCGTTGGAGGCAATACTGCGGGCTGTCGAAGAAAGTCAAAGAGGGGGCAGGCCTTTCCCTCACCGAGATTGCAAACTTACCCGACAGCTCCTAAGAGGGCTTATTGATGAGGAAGTCTACACGAGGATTTCACCTATGAAGCCCCTGCTTTTCAGTTTCCGAGAGCTTCAAACTGAACTCAGAAACCTAGCAAAACAGTCTAAAAGGTTCCAATCACAAAACAAGGCAAAGAAAACATACACCCAGGTGCATGTTACAACAGAGGATACTAATGTAAGGGCAGAAAGGTCAAAGAATACCTCAGAGTGGTCAGAGTTGACAGAGATGGTCAAGAGATTGGCTGTTAACCAAGAGGAGCAGATGGCAAAGTTGTCTCGTCTGGAGTCAAGAGTTTCTGCTTCACCCACGGTTCCTCCAAGGGTTCAGCCACCCCCTAGAACTGCAATCCAGAGTTCAAGTTTTGTATGCTACCGGTGTGGGAAGGAAGGACATACAGCCCGTGTCTGTAGAGCAGTGCTCCCAGATCCCAATCCGGCCTGGGCACGCCAACCACAGCCTATGACCCCTGCGGAGGAGAACAGGCCTAACTCAGCTCAGCATTTAAACGCTTAGAGCCCATGGTAACTGGGGCAACCATGGGCGGGCAGCAAGATCCCCCAAAGCAAGTAAAAAAATCAATTGGTGGAAAAGAGGGCACCCCCTTAGTAGGCCCACGGAACGAGGGTGAGGTTAAAGTTAATGGAATGAAGTGCAAAGCTCTCATTGACTCTGGCTCTCAGGTAACCAGTATTACTCACAGATATTGGTGCAACCACCCTGCCCTGCAGAACCAAAAGCTGCAGCCTTCTAAAGTACCCATAGAGGGTGCAGCAGGTCAAAGTGTGTCCTACTATGGTGTCCTGCAAATTGACTTGAAAGTGCTGGGAAAAGAGTTCAAAACTGTGCCTGCTTTTGTTGTCCCTGATTCTGATTATCGCTCCTCTGTTCCATTGCTTGTGGGAACGAATGTCATTCGGGCCTCGAGGAGTCACCTCCAAGCAACCTACGGCCAGCAGTTTCTTCACCGAGTCAAGGAAGACCACCCGGAGTGGTACACCGCTCTACTGGAGATTGGCAGCACCGACCGTGAGGCAACGGATGACAAGGTGGGCCCTGCTGTGTATACCGGGCGCAAGATTCGAATTCCCGCAGGAAAAGAGAAGGACTTGAGGTGTGAGATCAAAACGGGCCCACGGAGAAAGACTTATACTGCCCTCATTGAAAGCAACTCCTCCTTGCAGCTTCCCCAGGACCTCTTGGTTGCCAAAGACCTGGCTGATGTAAAGAAAGGCTGCGCCCCGGTCAGAGTGATGAACCTGTCCCAACATGCTATTACTATTAAGCCACACACTCACCTGGCCAATGCATTCCTGGTGGACAATGTTGTGGAATTTCCAGACGAAAAGCTGAGTGGATGTCGCAATAATGGGAGTCAGGAAGTCTGCCTGAGTCTGGACCAGGTAGTGGTGAGTTGTGGGGTGGACCTAAGTGAAGCAGCAGTTGAGAATGAACACCAGCGCTCCCTCCTTAGAGATCTTGTCGACAGGAACATAGGTGTTTTCTCCAAGCATCCCATGGACTACGGCCACACAAAAACAATGCAGCATGACATTCCCCTGGTTGATTCCAAGCCCTTCCGGCTCCCGTATCGCAAGATTCCGCCTTCACAGTGGCAAGATGTGCGGAAGTTGTTGATAGAGATGGAGGCGACAGGAGTCATCAGGCTTAGTAAGAGTCCATATGCGTCCCCAGTGGTGATCGTGACTAAGAAAGACGGGTCATTAAGGTTGTGCATTGACTACAGAAAGCTAAACTCCTACAGCACGAGAGACGCATTTCCCCTGCCCAGAATAGAAGAGGCCCTGGAGGCTCTGGGGCAAGCAAAGTACTTTTCCACACTTGACCTCACATCTGGTTACTGGCAGGTGGAGGTAGCGGAACAGGACAAGCACAAGACAGCATTCAGCACACCCATGGGGCTGTTTGAGGCCAACAGGATGCCCTTCGGACTGCAGAATGCTCCGTCCACCTTCCAGAGGCTCATGACCTGCTGTTTTGGGGATCTGAACTTCACCCACCTCTTGATCTACCTTGACGACCTCATCATCTTCTCCAAAACCTTTGATGACCATCTGGAGAGGTTGCAGCTGGTGTTTGATCGGCTTCATGAACATGGCTTGAAGTTAAAGCCTTCCAAGTGCCAGCTTGTGAGAAAGGAAGTGCAGTACTTGGGCCACTTGGTATCGGCGGAGGGGATCAGGACAGACCCAGAGAAGATCAGCCGGGTCAGGGACTGGGTGAGGCCCACAAACAGGAAGGAAGTGTTGCAGTTCTTAGGGTTTGCTGGATATTACAGGCGGTACGTTGGTGGCTACTCGAGCATCGCTGCTCCTTTATACCGCCTGACAACTGGTGACCCCAGGAAGAAAATAAGAGGAAGGAAGACAAGTTTGGGTCCTGAGCTGCCCTTTTTGTGGACTACAGAGTGTGAAGAAGCCTTTCAGTCCCTGAAGCAAAAGTTGACGACTGCTCCAGTACTGGGTTACCCGGATTACAGCCTACCTTTTGTGCTTCAGACCGATACGTCGGGACAGGGGCTTGGTGCTGTCTTGGTTCAAGTCCAGGATGGAGCTGAGAGAGTCATAGCCTATGCGAGCAGAGGCTTGAGCCCGGCCGAGTCGAGGTATCCTGCACACAAACTGGAGTTCCTTGCTCTGAAGTGGGCAGTGACAGACAAGTTTTACGACCATCTCTATGGGTGTCCATTCTCTGTCCAGACGGATAACAACCCCCTCAAATATGTGATGTCCTCTGCAAAGCTGGATGCTACCGGTCAGCGATGGGTGTCTCGGCTGTCTACATTCCACTTTGACATCCAGTATCGGAGGGGACAATGTAACGCAAATGCAGATGCCCTCTCCCGTATGTCAAACCAGGAGGTCACACAGGTCCTACAAACCTGTCCTCAGCGGGTGGGGATCAATGTGAGAGTGCATGGGGAGACACAGCCCACACTAGAACCAGGAGGGCCCCCTGATGAGAACACTGCCGCAGAGAACCCTGACTCACAAGACCTTGGGCCGGGCATGTCAAGTGAGTCCTACAGGGAGGTGGGGACGGAATCCCTGCCTGCCATGACAAAACAGGAGATCCGTGTGGGGCAGAAGGAGGACTCTGTCATTGGCCCCGTCTTGCACTACAAAAGTTTGAACCGGAAACCAAGCCGCAGCGAGAGGGTCAGTGGTGGTGGGCAGGTGTGCCTTCTTTTAAAAGAGTGGAGGAGGTTAATGGTGAGGGATGGTATCATGTACCGCCACATCCAGGACGGCCAAAGGGGAGTAGTGGAGCAGCTAGTATTGCCAGAGAAACTGCATACAGCAGTAAAGACTGCTCTCCATGATGATTCAGGGCATTTAGGATTTGAGAGGACGTTGCAAATGATAAGGGAGAGATTCTACTGGCCAAGAATGTTTCAAGAAATCAAGGCTTGGTGTGAGCAGTGTGAAAGGTGCTGTCTCCGGAAGACCCCTACTGCAGGCTCCAGGGCTCCCCTGGTCAGTATCCATAGCAGTGCCCCAATGGAGCTGGTGTGTGTGGACTTTCTGACTGGAGAAGTCCAAAGGTGGCATAGAAAATGTGCTTGTGGTTACAGACCAATTTTCCCGCTATGCCCAGGCCTACCCGACAAAAGACCAAAAGGCCTCTACAGTGGCTAAAACACTGTGGAAAAACTTCTTCTGCCAGTTTGGGTTCCCTGCGAAGCTGCATGCGGACCAAGGGCGCAACTTTGAAAGTACAGTTGTGAAGGAGCTGTGTAAGTGCACTGGCATCACAAAGACTCATACGACCCCTTACCACCCACAAGGCAACGGAACCATCGAAAGGTTCAACCGGACCCTCATGAACATGCTGGGGACCTTGGAGCCGCACTTGAAACCCCGCTGGCATGAGCATCTTGACGCAATGACACATGCCTATAACTTCACACAGCATGATTCAACGGGTTACACACCATACTACCTGATGTTTGGGAGACATCCTAGGCTCCCAGTGGACCTGATTTGTGGGCTTTCCACCGCAAGTGAGCCACGTGGATGCAGTGATTATGTCCAAATTCTGTACGACAGTCTGTCACAGGCATATGCACAGGCTAATCAAACCTCTCGGCATGCTAAGGCTCAACAGAAAAAGCACTATGACAGAAAAGGAAAGGGTTAAGTCTTCATACCGGGGGATAGAGTCCTTGTCAAAGTATGTCATGTGGAGGGACGGCAGAAACTGGGAGACAGATGGGAGGCACGTCCATACATTGTGGTGAAGAAACAACTCAACACACCTGTATATGTGATACGATTGGAGGACAGCGAGAGAGAGAGGGTGGTGCACCGCAACCTCCTCACACAGTGTATGTTCCTTCCAGTGGAACGAGTCAGTGAAGTGATAGGAGAAGAGGACTGTGAGATCGATCATACAGAGGAAGTTGAGGAGAATGTGGGACCTGGGACACCAGTGGTACACGATGAGCCCAAACAAATGGAGGAAGTGGATGTGGATGAATGACAAATGGATGAAGGAGATGAGGAAAGTACGACTGGGAGTGACACCAAATCACTTGACAAGGCTCGTAGGAGAAATCCAACAAGAAATCGGTGTGCCCCGAAGAGACAGTCATGTGAGTCACAAGTCCTGAGTTCGGAAGAGGACCAGGGGAGGAGAGAAAGGGGATGGAAGTTGTGGCAAAGGGCCAACGCAAGTAGAGAAGCAGGACAGGGGTGACACAATCAAGCCACAACATTCTGACTGTTAAAATGTATAACACACACACATTTTATAAGACAATCATACATACAGAAAGGTTATTTGTTTCTCTTTAACTGTTTAAATTGTTTGTGCTACATGGCCTTTGTTGTATTTTGTTTGGCCTGATGGCTGGGACGCCATCAATTAAAGAAGGGGTAGATGTAAGGTAACAGCCTTGACAGGCCACTAGGTGTCTGTTGCGCAGCAAATTGTTGTTTTTTGTCCATTGTGGGACACCGTATTTCTCTTGTTGTTCTGGGTGCGGCCGCCATCTTGGCGCTAATGTTTGCATTCACTCCGCAAAAGGTGAGCAGTGTTAATGGCGGCAAATAATTGTACACATTATTATGTTAAAAACGTCCAAACATTCCATTTATTTAATTAATGGGTTAGTTTAAATGTTTATTTACCCGTTTGTGTATGTTTGGGAGTGAGATGTTTATGTTTTGTCTGTTCATTTGGTTATTGTATTGGTTAGCATGTAGCTAATGCGCGAATGTTTGCATTCACTCCGCAAAAGGTGTGTCAGAAGAGCTGCCATTGTGAAGAATAAATCGCTACTCAGCATCTCCAACGCAATCCGATCTGCTGTGTCCTGTTTTCCACCCCTCTGCATAACATCCCATCACCAATAACAAACACAACGCAGAGTCCCATGGTGTTCAGAGAGGCTACTGGACATTTGGGTTACATGCATGCCCGGCGCCGTGGGAGGGCCAGGCCCTCCCATTTGACATTCCTGCCCTCCCCCAATAAACACGTTTTTTATTATTTATAAAAATTAAAAAATATTTTTATTTTATTTTTTTAA